ATCCCATACTATGGCATATGTTTTCACTCTTTTTGTGGTGTTTGGTCTTTTTAGAGAATGTCTCACTATATAGCTCAGGTTGTCTTCTATTGAGCTACTTCTGCCTCAGCCTTCCAAGTGTAGGGTTACAACATGTGCTACCACACCCAGCCTGTTTTCATTCTTCTAACGGTAGCTTTTGTTGGATCTGATTGCTTATTTTAAGATAAGCAATTAGTGGGGCTGGAGTGAGAGTTCCGTGGTAGGATATCTGCCCAGGAGTCAGAAGGCCTTGGGTTTAATCCCTGGCCCCATGAAGAAAGAAACAAACAAAAACCCAACAATAAATGACTCGTCTGATCTTTGACACAACTACCCATTATTTGAAAAAGAAGGGGAAAGCAAACTTATCTAAAGAAACACTGGCTGGAAAGTTTAGAATCTTGATCTTGTGACACTGGATAAGCCATATAGACCTTTCTTCTTGTCTTTAAGCTTTTAATTTCTTGATTCATAAAAATAGTGAAAATGGGACAGCAAAATGGCTCAGCAGGTTAAAAACTCTTACCATGCAAGCCTGATACTGAATTTGGTCCCTAGGTCCCATGATGGAAGGACATTTCTATGTATATGAATCCACAGTCACACATATTTCTCAAGTACAAACACACCCAATAACAGTACATTTAAAGCCTTATAAAATGTTAAAAACAAGAAAATGTAGTATTTTGTAAGTATCACATGAAAACAATGTAAGAAGGCAACTTGATAGTTACATTCATTAAACTTAATAGTACAATTTGATATTATCCTATATAGGGCTAGAGAGATAGCTCAGTGGTTAAGAACATTTGATGTACTTACAGAGAACTAGGATGCAGTTCTCAGCAGCCACAGGACAGCTCAAAACCATCTGTGACTCCAGGTCTAGGCAATCTGATGTCCTCTCCTATCTCTCCGGGTACCAGGCATGCACATAATATACATTCACACAGGCAAATCATTCATATTCATAAAAATAAATAAACATCTCAAAACTATATATTAAGATGTCAAATGACCATCTCCCTAACCCCAATAAACAAGGAGTCAACTCTAGGACATGACTCCAAACACTGGATTGTGACGACAAATGCTAGGTCCAGTTTCTTCATAATCCTTTTTGGTGTGGCATACTTGGTAGAACTCAGGCGTGGAAGCCAGCATTGACCCTCCAAACCAGACTGCATACCACTGCATGTGGTGTGTAATAACTTGTACATCAGTAGGCTTGGGCTTCAATCTACCATCGCTCAGCTCCTCGCTTAACTTCAGCCTGGCGTCTACAGTTCTCTTCAAATCTCTTTGCAAACGACATCCAAAGTCCCTGAACATGGTTGAACCACCAGAGAGGACAATGTTCTTGTAAAGAGGACGCCGGACATCAATGGGGCAATTCTGAATGACTTCATCTACACCTTCTGAGATAGGTTGTGTAAAATCTGGGTTAGCAAACTCTGGATGGAAAAAGATCTCGGGTCCCAGGAATCGCTCATAGCCAACGTCAATGGAGAACTCTTTCTTTGAGATGGCGTTGACTCCGGTGTACTGTTTGATCCACTTTGACCCATCAGTGTCATACTTGTTAAACTCTTTTACTAAATCTGGACAGACATAACTGTAGCATTCCTTCACTGCTTTCGCAGTTTCCAAGGACTGTTCAGGAGGAATTCCTACTTCTCGGTCTCGCAGCAGTTGCTGAATAAACTATGTTATCTCTTCCTGCAATTGGAATGTGTTTAATACAGCTGCCGATAACATATCCTTCAGCCACAGGAATGACATGAGTGACTCCATCTCCACTGTCTATTACTGTACCCGTCAGCGTCCGCTCTCCTACTTGTCTTGAGGTCCAGGATGCAGCTACGGCAAGAACAGCCTGCACAGCAATGTACAAGCCTGGAACACTGAAGGACTCAAACATTATTTCAGCAGTATATTCCCTGTTTTCTGGGGTATTCAGTGGAGGTTCAGTCAAAAGAAAGTGATGATCTTCAGGGTCTGCCCTTAAATATTTAAAAATCACTTGCTCCATGAACCTTCCGTTAAGTCCCAGTCTTCAACTATGCCATGGCGGGTTGGCCACTTTGTTAGGGAGATGGAAATGAGATAATCTTTCTGATGACCTGTTTTTTGTCTGAATGGGTGGTTCTGAGGTTTTTACCCAAACATGATCGTACAGGAATATTTAATGAGTGTGTCAACATGCAGATGTAGAAGAGAGCCAAGACGAGTGTTTTCCTTTAGGTTGAATATTTGAATCTTACGTGTATCAAAAAAGAAATGGGTTTTAGTTCTTTCTGTGCCCTGATATTTTGTATATTATTGACTTCGCCAGTGTGCTGGGCTCTGTGGGTGTGTAGAGAGCTCTGTAATGCCTGATTGGGCACTGCTGAGGGAGCAGTGCCGAAGCTTGTTTATATTTCATACTTTTTTATACTTTGAGGAAAAAAAGTCAAAGAAAAACTGTAGTATTTGAGGGAAACAGTGTGACCAAGGAAAAGATGAATTCAACAAGCAGCCTCATGGGACTTGGCGCACACTCTGGGTTCCAGTTATCTCGAGCTGCTCTACCCCTCCCCAGCCCAAAGGTTCTCTCTGCAAACGCTTGGATCTAAGAAGCTAGTCTCCTGGGTTAGCTGATGCCTGCCCTGCTTTCTGGTTACTTACATTCTGTTTCTTGCTTTAAAAGAAAGACAAGACTGTTGGACCAGTATTGCAATTCTGTAGAGTCGTTTCTTATTAAAACAATAACGTGATTACCAAAATTGGCATATTTAAGGCTTAATGCCATTCTAATAAAGGCAAAAATCTCTTTTTACTACTTGTTTCAGGCTCTTTGATCTCTTTATAAGTTAACTAATACGTCTATTTTCTTCAAATTCTGCAGTAGCTCTTTAAAAAGCACAGCGGTTGGATAGCAAGCTGACTTTTATGTGCTCTGTACAAATAATTGTGAACTTTTTTCTTTTTTTAAAATTTTTTCTTAATTGTCAACTTTTAATATGTTGAGTGCTTTCATTTTGATAACTGGATCTCCATTTGATATTTCATTTGTATAACTCATTTGCAGTCTGGATTTTTTTTTAGTGCCAGTCCCTGACATATCATGAAAAGTTGGTTTTCTTTGCATTTTCAAATATCTGGATCATGAAGAAACGTGATGACAATAAATTAAAACTGAATAAAAAAAAAGATGTCAAATGGCCCGTGAATTCCTGCCCATGATAGATGATGACAAGCTTCTAGAGGGTATTGACTTAGCTCTAGAGACGAGTCACGATATAGAACTAAAGGGAAAGCTTAGTAAACAGCAAAGCTAGCTGAATTCAGTTCATGAGGAGGGAAAGCAATTTTACTTTACTATAAAGTTCAAGGTGATCCAGAAATCTCCAAATGAGAGCCCAAATTCACTGATTTAATGTGATGGTCTTCCAAATAAGGTAATACCCTAATTACATAGCTGCCACATTAAATAGACACACCAGTATATCTTAAAGTGAAGAAACAAAAAGAAAAGCATTTGTAAGAGTAGATAAAAAAAAAAGAATACCTAAGGAGCCAGTGAAGCTGTTTTAGCAGCAAATTGACAAATCAGTAATTGATATCTCAGAGTGAGCTCATCTGTTGTCTCAAGGAGACCTGTTATTGAATTTTCCTGGCGGAGTAGATGTCTATTAAAGATTGGTTCCTAAATGTGGTACATCAGTATATGGAGACTTGTCTTTTCTCACTTTACCCTCAGATTTTGTTAAAGCACATAGTGTAAACAATATGAAAAAATGAGAATCTGTGTAGTTTGGGTTAACTTTTTCTATTATGTTTCTTTGTACATTTTATTATTAACTATGCATCTCACATTCTTTATGTGCATTGGAATTTGGCCTGCATGTATGTCTGTCTGTGTGAGGGAGTTGGATCCATTGGAACTTGAATCAAAGATAGTTGTAAACTACTAAGGAGGTGCTAGGAATTGAACCCAGGTCCTCTGGAAGAGCAGCAAATGCTCTGAGCCATCACTCCAGACCTTTATTATTAAGTAGGAATGTAAGGAAACTGATGTGTGATAAGCATATTTGGAAAAAAAGATAGCTAGTAATTTTGATCTGTTATATGCTACATTGTATATAAATATGTACACATGCATATTATATAGTTTCATTTAACCAGTATCATGCTAAAAATATCTTTCTTTATAAATAAGTGAGAATTTGAAAGGATATTGATTTGTCTGCTTTTTCTCATCTTGTTAATGACGAAGCTAGAAAAAATCTTTTTAAAAATTTTCATAGCCTGTATTATTATATGATACTCTGATGCCCAGTTACTTTAGAATCTTATTTATTACGAGAATAATCAGTGCTATGTGTTGGTTGACTGGCTTTGAGATAGGGTCTAGCAGTATAGGCCAGGCTACCCTCAAACTAATGATCCTCCTGCCTCAACCTTCTGAGTAGTGGAAATACAAGTATATGCTACTGCACTTGTCTCTCCTATCTTTTAAAAAACAGACTTTAAACTGGACATGGTATCACACAGCTATAGTCCTAGCACTTGTGAGACTAAGGCAGGAGGATGCAGAGTCCCAGGCCAGTCTAGTCTACATAGTAAGCCGTTGTGTGAAATAAAAGAAAAAAAGGAAAAGGAAGGGGAACCACAGATATATTAGCTCAGTGGCAGGACACTTCCCTAGTATATATGAAGCTGTGGTTCAATACTTGTCACCATAAGACAGACAGATAGATAGGTAGATAGATAGATGGATGGATGGATGGATGGATGGATGGATGGATGGATGATGGATGGACAATGGATGATGAGTGGGAAGGAAGGAAGGAAGGAAGGAAGGAAGGAAGGAAGGAAGGAAGGA